AGTGTGTATGCGTTTGTGTGTGTATGCGTGTGTGTGTGTGCATGTGTCTTGTGTAAGCTGAAAGACGCGAAAAATGATTGAAATAGCTATTGCTCCCAAGGTTCAGGGGATCTCGCAGTCGAGCAGTCTCGACTACAGCTTTCTTACTTGTTTTTTCCTAGGCCTGTGTATAGCACGCGCATATCGAGTTTTGCTTTAAATATCGATAAATTGCCACGTTATTGTCTTATCGTAAGCTAGAATCTCCAAATTTTATATGTATACTTATATGTATTTTATACAATTTCGGTTTTTGTCAAAATTTACCCCCCACCCCTAATTCATCCCCTCACCCTCACATTTGTAAAAGGCGTATTTGAAATACTAGAGACTTGTGCTTGTGCATATCCATGATATAATCATAATCTGAAAGTTTTATGAAAAAAGTACTACATCCACAAGAAAAGTTATTGAACAATTAAGTTCCCTTAGTAAGCCACTACTGCAACCAATGCGTGTTTATGTGTGCGTGCGTATCTCTGTGTGTGCATGCGTGTGTGTGTGTATGCGTGTGTGTGTGTGCGTGTGTGTGTCTTGTGTAAGCAGAAAGACGCGAAAAATGATTGAAACAGATATTGCTCGAAGGGTTCAGATCTCGTAGTCGAGCAGTCTCGACTAGCGCTTTCTTACTTGTTATTAGTTAAAGAGCTGGAAGACTGAAATTTGGAATGTAGATCCGCGTCGACCCCCCAAGATCACGAGCTATGGAAGATATAAGTTAAGGACAGACCCTACAAAAGGGCATTGTTCCGGCCCAATTATATCACGGCTCTAGTGCATGCACTTTTGACACGTGCGCCTTGTCAGCAAAATACAACGGCAACACAACCGCAATCGTGGGAGCCTAAGGTCAATGCACTTGCCCAAAACACATTCTGGTCAACGTGTGTATTTCCGCCACGAACGCCGAGTCAGCGCACCGATCAGCACCACCGTGAGAGCCATCGTGTCATAAGACACCTATCAGCAGCAACAGCAGTAACTACGGCGGCAGCGACGCCAATAGCAGCAGCGGTAGCTTTCATATAAATAGTACTTGTATAATTCTTAAGTTAGTTCTAATCCAACTCCGAAAGTAAATAAATGTTTTTTCAATTCAAAAACCGCTTTCGAATATTTAATTTATATATACGCCCATTGGGGGCGTGGCAAATCGGATAAACCCAGAGTTAAACAGCTACAACGCTGAAATTTTGCACGTAAGCTAATCTTTGATTCTATAGAGTCTATTTTCAAAATTAATGTATACGCCCATTAGGGGCGTGGCAAATCGGACCTGAAGGTATAGTGACTTTTTAGATTCTGCTATATTTTTTACACTATTGATGCTAGATACCTCACATTTTTTTTGTTTATATACTCGGGCTGACCACCCAAGACCAAAAAGCTTCGACGGATATATGTCCGCCCACAGGGGGCGTGGCAAATCGCAAAAGTTTATATCTCCCAAAGTATAATAGCTAGCAGTTTCAAATTTACTGAATGAGTATTCCGTTATTTATATAGGGGAATGATGAAATTCCCTTTTCAAATTGATGGGAATACAGAAGTTTCCAAAAACAAATTAAACAATTTCAGCAATGGTGACTGAAGAGAATCACTGTAATTTTTAATCACACAACTTGGAATATTATCGGCACCAGGAGAGAAAGATGATTTCAACGTCCTAATGGCTGCAGCCAGAGAGGCTGCAGTGACTTTAGGAGCATTGATAGAGCCATATTCAGGGAGTAAATATGGATATGAGTTGCTGTAGAGATCAGAAGAAGAATAAGTAGATTGAAAAAAATCTGCAAATAGATCAGAGGACTCCTGATCATTGTATTTTCAGCACCAAGGACAAATGATGACGGAAAACCAGAAAATTTACGCTCCAAGTTTACAAATAAGTAAAATTGTTTAGGATCTCGAGCAAACTGATGTTTGCAACGTATAATATAATTCTCAGAGTTTTTAAAATTATTAAAGCATATAGTTTTAATGTTTCTTAAGGTCGAAAGAGACTTGGTTAACCAAGGTGGCTTATTTGAAACTGGCGAAATACGGCAGAGAGGGACACAAACATCCAGAATAGAGTTTAAGGTGGTATAAAAGAAATCGATGCTGCCCAATTAATATCAACCGACTCATATAAAAGAGACCCGTCTGTTGAATTAATTTATTCGTTAAGCAAAACAAAATTGCATTTACAATAACAGCGACTTGGAAAAAAAAGCAAAGGAGTATAAGTGAGATGATTATCAACAGCAAAAAAAACCCTTAAAGTAGGGTGATGTATATCCTCTAGTGAGCAGAAAGGAGTTGATCTCACGACATTAATAAGCGAATCGTGATTAATGAACACGAGATCTAGTGTGCGATTTAGATGATTAGAAATAAAGTTCATCTGAAACATAGCCATGTTAAACAATTCATCAAAAAGATAGAGATCAATTGTCGGAATAAAGTAATTTATATTACAAGTTTATATAACATAACCAAGAAGTGTACGGAATATTAAAATCACCCAACATAATAAGCAAGTCTCTATCATTTACATGTTCATAAACTTCTTTAATACAATTAATATGTTGAGCATAACATAGGCTTTTTCTTGTTCATCAGAAGAGGCAGGCATATAAGAATATGTGATAAATAATGATCGCGATGGAGAGTTAATTTAACCCCTATAATCTCTGCATTATGAAGGGAGGAGAAGGTAAACAATTCGAAGAGTATACTGGATTTAACAGCAATAACCACACCCCACTATTTATTATTTATTAAATAGTGAAATTACTTGAAATGATCTCACTATTATGAATATTGTTACTTATGTAACCCTGTATCAGTTAAAGCGATAATATCATATTGTAAACTAAAACTGTGCAAGAATAGACTTTTTATTACGATTTTTTGGTTTGAATTCATGAACAACTACATGASGTGGCCAGAAATTAGGATCACATAAAGTTTTAAAACATTCTACAGGCACATTGATCTTGTATGAAGCAATTTCTTGCGGAGTTGCGGAATTGAACTTCGACATAAAAACATTAGCCAAAATTTTGCTTGAAATAAAAGCATATACTGCCTCACATGTCGTATGATACCCCGCGGGTAGACCCTTAAACCTGCAGTTCCTGCAATGCTTAGGATTTCTGTGCCTCAATTGTCCGCATCGCTTACAAATCTGCTCCTTCATCCGACACGTGGCCACTTTGTGATCAAAACTGAAGCACCTAAAGCAAGCGTAGGTCGGGGTCAACGGGTGCCAGCGGAAAGAGAGCCACTCCACATAAATCCTTTCCTAATCTTCAATTGCACATTGACCTGTTCCATGGCTTCAAGGAAATCTTCACCGACTTCACCGATTGCATTGAAGCAGTGTCCGAAAAAAGTGGTTCTTGAAGAGACCTTCGATGAACTGCTTTGGAGTGATGCTGCTGTCATTGATGACATTAATCCTGGGCCTGAGTGCTGCGTTCTGACGACTTCTTTGAACTTCGGGTTTGCAAGAACCCTCCGTATCTCGCCAGAGTATGGCGTGCGAATAATCTCAACGAATAATAAGCAACTTGCTAAGGCATATCCTCCGGGTTGTTGGACCTCAGGATCGCCGACCACATTTCCGCAACTTTGCGGACTCTGCTCAGCCCTTCGACTCTCTCCAAGAAGAGAATCTGCCAAATTGATGCTTTGGTCGGCTCTTCGCTTCATCCAGATGGATTCATCTCCCAAAGCGCTCGTCCAGCAAGGCTCTCCTTATAGTACGGTCAAAGGTGGAAACATCTTGGCCGTAGAGCTAATCGCTCTACCTCTACCATCGGGTAGCTACTTTTCAGCTTGCACGTCGCAACAAGGTCCAACGGCGGGGCTCCAGCCAGCACATCAGGGGCACCGTTCGGCACGTAGGCAAACATTATGCGATGGCAGGACTTGAGCGACCTCCTGGCGCCGACTAGTCTCATCACCACCGTGTACCACAGCGAAGCATCAAATATATCCCTCGGCGTGCACGCGGACTGGATCCCCAGTCGACGCGTAGCACACGGGTTAGAGATCCTACGTCTCCGGCCAGCCGATCGCGAAGGGACGCGATAAGCGGGAGCGAACTCAACCATTCGCCAGCCGTGATGCCAAGGTAACAGTATTACGTCACATACTGACGGCGGGATTCTTGCCAGCTGACAGCTTTCCCTTAAGGAGCATCGTCACAGTCTTCGTGTCCGCCTATCTCAACACCATATCCATCAGTTGGGCGCCTGTGAGCTCCAGTTGGGATCTGGGCTTCCCTTCGATGAGCAGCAGCAAGTCGTCAGCATATGCACTAAATGTGCAGTGCGCTTCAAAGCGGCGCAGGAGGACATCCATCAAGATGTTCCATATGATTGGACCCGTGCGGGCAGTCACGTGAGACATTCACGTTGGCCTCGCCAAAGCTACTGACGATGCTAGCTTTTCGGTCCGAAAAGAAGCTGCGCCAGATCCCAATTTCCCTGCATCCTA